AAAGCCACATTGGCTAACATTCCCCCTGGGGCCGTGATGGAGAAAGGCCAGGACAGAACACACAAGAGGAGACCAATGCACAAAGCTTTATTATTATTATTATACATATTTATAAAGCGCCAATAGTTCGCGTCAGCGCCTGTACATTACAAAGGGGGGCACAGAAACATGAGTGACATAACAATACCAATAAACAATGTGATACACGAGGGGTTCGAGGCCCCAGCTCTTTCGAGCTTAACACATCTAGGCAGGGAAGGGGGATGGTGGCAACAGGAGGAAGATAGCAGTGGGTATGGAGGTAGTAGAAGGAGTGGAGGAGGTCGGCAAGTTAGGCCGGGTGGGGGTAGGCCTTCCCTGAAGAGGTGGGTTTTCAGCGTGCGCCTAAAGGAGAGGAGAGTAGGTTGATAACTGATGGGTTGGGCAGGGAGTTCCAGAGGTATGGGTGACACCCTGGAGAAGTCCTGAGGCGGGCATGGGAGGAGGAGACCAGGGAACTAGAGAGAAGGAGGTCTTGTGAGGGAGCGGAGTTGTGCGTGCTGGGTGGTACTTGGATATTAGGATCGGTGATGTAGTTCGGGGCAGTATGGTGGACAGCTTTGTACGTCAGTGTTAGGATTTAAAATTTGATCCTTTGCGCAATCGGAAGCCAGTGGAGGGATTGGCAGAGGGGGGTGGAGGACACTGAATGGAGGCCAGTGGAGGGATTGGCAGAGGGGGGTGGAGGACACTGAATGGAGGCCCAGTGGAGGGATTGGCAGAGGGGGGTGGAGGACACTGAGTGGAGGCCAGTGGAGGGATTGGCAGAGGGGGGTGGAGGACACTGAATGGAGGCCAGTGGAGGGATTGGCAGAGGGGGGTGGAGGACACTGAATGGAGGTCAGTGGAGGATTGGCAGAGGGGGTGGAGGACACTGAATGGAGGCCAGTGGAGGGATTGGCAGAGAGGGTGGAGGACACTGAGTGGAGGCCAGTGGAGGGATTGGCAGAGAGGGTGGAGGACACTGAATGGAGGCCAGTGGAGGGATTGGTAGAGGGGGGGTGGAGGACACTGAATGGAGGCCAGTGGAGGGATTGGCAGAGAGGGGTGGAGGACACTGAATGGAGGCCAGTGGAGGTATTGGCAGAGGGGGGTGGAGGACACTGAATGGAGGCCAGTGGAGGGATTGGCAGAGAGGGTGTGAAGACACTGAATGGAGGCCAGTGGAGGGATGGTTAGAGGGGGTGGAGGACACTGAATGGAGGCCAGTGGAGGGATTGGCAGAGAGGGGTGGAGGACACTGAATGGAGGCCCAGTGGAGGGATTGGCAGAGGGGGGTGGAGGACACTGAGTGGAGGCCAGTGGAGGGATTGGCAGAGAGGGGTGGAGGACACTGAATGGAGGTCAGTGGAGGGATTGGCAGAGGGGGTGGAGGGACACTGAATGGAGGGCCAGTGGAGGGATTGGCAGAGAGGGGTGGAGGACACTGAGTGGAAGCCAGTGGAGGGATTGGCAGAGAGGGGTGGAGGACACTGAATGGAGGCCAGTGGAGGGATTGGTAGAGGGGGGTGGAGGACACTGAATGGAGGCCAGTGGAGGGATTGGCAGAGAGGGTGGAGGACACTGAATGGAGGCCAGTGGAGGGATTTGGCAGAGGGGGTGGAGGACACTGAGTGGAGGCCAGTGGAGGGATTGGCAGAGAGGGGTGGAGGACACTGAATGGAGGTCAGTGGAGGGATTGGCAGAGAGGGGTGGAGACACTGAATGGAGGCCAGTGGGAGGGATTGGCAGAGAGGGGTGGAGGACACTGAATGGAGGCCAGTGGAGGGATTGGCAGAGAGGGTGGAGGACACTGAATGGAGGCCAGTGGAGGATTGGCAGAGGGGGTGGAGGACACTGATGGAGGCCAGTGGAGGGATTGGCAGAGGGGGGTGGAGGACACTGAATGGAGGCCAGTGGAGGGGGGGGTGGTGGGGGGGGTGGCGGGGGGATTGGCAAGAGGGGGGTGGCGGAAACAGAGCGGTTGGAAAGGTGAATGAGTCTGGCAGCCGGCAAGTCCTTCAATACGGGGGGTGGCAGACAGGGTGGATTTGCCACTAAATGGTAACGAGGGGGCCCCACCCACTTATAGTCCACTAGAGAGCCAAGGGGGGGTGTCCCTGTAACAGGGGTAGTCCGACACAGGAGAGGGGTGCGAGGAGTCACCACCGTAACAGTTCAGGAACACCAGTGGGGCAGCAGGTACTCACGGAGAACAAGGGTTCAGTCCAGGCAGGGATAGATCCAGGCAGATTCACGGGGACAGCAGAAGATTCCTCCACAGTGCAGGGATTCCAGGCAGCACAGACAGTCCAGGAGATGAGGAGGAGGACGGGGGATGAGAGAAGCTGGCACTCAGCACAGCCAGGAGAACACACTGGGGGGGTCGGTCGGGGTTTTCCTTGCTCTCTCAAGTATTGAGCTGGTAACCGGATACTTCCTGTCGGGTTACCATGGCAATGGGTCCGGTTCAGAGAGTTCAGTGAATTTGGCATGAGGGGGAAGGGAGGAGGGGGGTCCAGAGTAATTTAATTAGGCCATTTGGCCTAGGGACACAGGGGACAATTGAACAATACAGAGCAGGACTCTGAGGGCATGTGATACAAGGCATTAACCCCTCGCCTACCAGGCACTTATACCCCCTTCCTTACCAGGCCAATTTTCAGCTTTCAGCGCTGCCGCACTTTGATTGACAATTGCGCGGTCATGCAACATTGTACCCATATGAAATTTTGATGATTTTTTTCTCACAAAGATATGAGCTTTCTTTTGTGTGGTATTTAATCGCCGCTGGGCGCTTTACTTTTTGCGCTATAAACGAAAAAATTGCAAAAAATTAGAAAAAAAAAAAAGTTTCTTTGTTTCTATTATAAAATTTTTCAAACAGGTAATTTTTTCTCCTTCACTGATGTGCGTTGATGAGGCAGCACTGATGGGCACCGATAGGCAGCACTAAAGGGCACTGATAGGCAGCACTAATGAGGTGTCATGGATAGGCGGCACTAATATGCAGCACTGATAGGCGGCACTGATAGGTGACACTTATGATGGGTACTGATAGACGGCACTGACTGGCATCACTGCTGGGCACTGACTGGCAGCACTGACTGGCACAACCGCTGGGCACTGACTGGTGGCACTGACCGGCTGCACTGGTGGGTGACACTGGTGGGCAGCACTGGTGGGTGGGCACAGGTGGGTGTGGCACTGGTGGGCACAGGGGGTGGTACTGCTGGGTATACTCCCTGCTAGGATTGTCTAGAGACACATGCTCACCAGACAGAGGAGGAAACAGACAAAGTTCCAATCAGAGAAGCTCCATGGAAGTAGAGAAGGCCAAATAGGTATTTAATGCACTTGTGTGTTCCTCTATTTTTTTAACAGTGCAGTAGATCTGTGTCTAAAAAACTGTTATATGTATTTACTTGTAGTTCCACCGAACTTACGAACTTACGAATCAAGTCACTGTAGAGTAATCTAACGAATTTATAAATCCAAGTGAATTTATCAATCTATCGAAATATACAGAACGAATTTATCAAATCTATTGAACCTATCGAGATAAGTTATCGAATCAACCCAATGTAATACGAATTAAACCATTGTAATATGAAAGAAACAAGCCATTGTAAGCAGTGTTATATGAAGAAGATTGAAGTTATTAAAGAAGTTAACTAAAGTATTCGGTGTGCTCTTTAAACCTACTGCATCCATAGAGCGGCATTGGAGGAATTACAGAGTAAAGTCAGTCTAATCAAACAAAGAAACAGCAATTGCATAATTGTTCTAATGCCACAGCGCACTAGGCACCAAAGGGTGCTGCGCCTGCCACACCATCATTAAAGGTATTCTGCAGTCATGTTTGAAAAGGCACAATTGTGAGATTGATGAGTCTATTGTGTCAGCCACAGTGACAGAGCTTTGTGATGGCAACCCATTTTCCTCTGCTTTGAGTAGTGGTGGGCCACTTTCCTCTGCCTACAAAAGAAGGGTTTACTTTAAAGAACAGTTTGCTGTGGTGGAACCAGTAGAGTATGTACTCAGTAAAGAAGAAAACAAAAGCTTCCAGTATGTCTCTATTATGAAAATCACTGCTTCAGATTTTGAACCATCAAGAGATCCTTGATTTAATCTTGCATGAGGGAGAAGCTCAAAATGATGGTGAAACTCAGTACAGGGCATTTTCTGATGGCATATACTATAAAACAAATAAATTGTTTTCTGGCAGTGATCCTACTATTGCTCTCATTCTCTATATTGATGACTTTGAGATATGGCAATCCTCTGGGCACATCCAGGAAAAAAACACAAAATCACAGCTGTGTACTGGGTATTGGCTAATGTTCCTGCACTGCTCAGATCTTCACTTACATCCATCTTCTTAGCAGTGCTCTGCAGGGCAGAGGATGTGAAAAGATTTGGTTACAGTACTGTACTGGAGCCACTACTTAACCACTTCCAGTCCGGTGACACTTTTACCCCCTTCCTGACCAGGGCAATTATATCAGCTTTTAGCGCTATCACACTTTGAATGACAATTGCGCGGGTCATGCAACACTGTACCCAAATGAATTTTTTACCATTTTTTGAGACAGATAAAGCTTTATTTTTTGGTGGTATTTATTCACCGCTGGGATTTTGTATTTTTTTTTGCTATGTAAATGAAATGTCCAAAAATTTTGAAAAAAAGTGTTTTTTATAAAATTTTGCAAATAAATAATATTTCATCATAAATCTTGGCCAAAATTTATTCCGTTATCTTTTTAGTAAAAAAAAAAAATCCAAATTAATTTATAAGCAAAAAATATAATTTTTTAAACATTTTTGTTTACATTTTTATTTTATTTTTTTTATGTTATTTTTTTTTATTATTTATTTTTTTTTACATACTGTCACCACTAGCAGTACAGTGTCACCATGGTGACACTGTACTACTTGTGGGGGGTGATGAAGATTTTTTTTTTTTTTTTTTACACTGATTGCTTTTACAACACCCATATAGGATGTAAAAGCAATCATTTCTCTTTCTCTCTGTGTGCATTCTTGCACTCATTGAGAAGTACTGAGTGAGCTGTGATTGGTCACAGCTTGTCACATGGTACAAGGCTTTTGTGAATAGCCTTGTACCATGTGACCTCTGTGATCATTCACAGATTTCACACGTAGTAAGCAATGATGTCAGAAGTGACATCTTGCTTACTACTTTGCATGTGATCATTGGCCAATCAGTGATCACATGATCGGGACCTCGTACAGAGGTCCGTCCGACGATCGATGTTTCACTGTGTCCGGAGGACACAGCGGGCACCGGATCGCAGTGCTGCGCGCTCCCAGGGAGCGCGCACAAGCAGGGTGCGGGGATGGCCGTTTATAGACGGCCACCCGACCCTGCAGTGCCACCGTCTAGCCGTTTATATACAACAGCCGGACGGGAAGTGGTTAAAGATCTTCTGATTTTGGAGGAGGAGGGCCTCTATGTATCTTCATTAGGCAAAAGAGTCAAAGGAACAGTTTTTCGTGTTGTTGCAGATAATCTTGGGGCCCATTCTCTTGGTGGGTTTGTTGAATGCTTCTCCAGTTCTTACGTGTGTAGATTTTGTCAGGGTGAGCAGTCAGAGTTTCAGGTGAAAGAAGTTAGAACAGGAGCATTCCAATTTAGAACCGAAGAACAGCATGAAATGCATGTCCAAACTGTGCAGAAAAATGATGCTTTGACTCATGTCTATGGAGTCAAGAAGCAGTGTGCTCTTACAGAAAATCTGAAATATTTCAGTGTTTTGTCAGGTTATCCACCTGATGTGCTGCATGATCTGTTTGAAGTATACTGCCCCTTGAATTGGCCCTGTGTCTTCAAGTGTTTATCAAGAATAAATACTTTACTCTTGATGAACTCAACAAACGCATCAAAACATTTCCCTTTGAAATGGTCTGACAAGACAGATGCTCCACAGCAAGTCCCTCCTGAATTATTCCAACACACGGAAAAGTATTGGAGGGAACGCTCATGAAAATTGGTCACATGCTGCGATTCTTTGCCCCTCTTAATCGGAACAAAAATCCCAGAGGGTGAACCAGCATGGGGGAACTTCTTTTTAGTGCTTAAAGATATAGTTGAAGCATGTTGTAAGGTCATGTTCACACAGAGGAGACTATTGGTTACTTAGACAGTAAAATTCTCTGAACACAGATACAGGTTTCTCCAGGTTGTTCCCTCAGGGAAAACTAATTCCACGCCCAAACATCATTATTAGAGATGAGCGAAGAAATGAAAAATTCGATTCGACTGATTCTGCGAATTTCGTAGGACAATATGTCCGATTCGAGTCCGAATAAATTCGCTGTGAATTTAACTTACAAAAGGTGAGGTTTTCTTTTCTAGGCTTTCAGAGAGACATACAATTAAGTGCAGAACACTGTAACCTTTAATTTTAAATGCCCTTGGAGTCTGCTCTGGGGACGAGAAATAATAACTGTCCCCAGATTAGTATGACATGCAGATGAGTGCCGT